TAACAGACCGTTTTGCCCACAAGCGGTTAAAAACCGTTTAGGCGATATTGCCCTTTCCAGATACACCGACAGCTACTGTACGCACCGATCTCTCGAACTGGAAACTCACGAATACTGGAAACAGCTGAACAGGAAAAACCATACGAAAGGTTTACACTCCTGGCAGTCAGCATGCAATCCAATTCCCCCAATAACGAGACGAAACTTCGTTTTGAGGGTTAAGCAGAATCTCTAGATTTATTCACACAACCTCCTTTTAAGACATTCTCCCATGCAAGGGAGGGATCCACAACAATTAGTACCCCAGCCAATAATGTATCAGTTACCTCCCACACATCTCCTCCCCTTAGTGTGACACATAATCCCATTAGTCCAGACACAAATTCCCTGGGTTACTGGATGTACCCCTAAATATAGGGATATCCCTTTAAATGTTACATCCCCAGGTAGCCCTGATCTGGGTGAGACACATATCCAAAAATCACCCAGATCGGACCAGGGGTTCGGGAATTATGGAGGGTTAAAGTTTTGACCGACTGCATGGCAAAAGTATCCGAAAATAGTTCCAGGTATTTTGGCCCTGCAGTCGGTCACAGAAAAGGGAATGAAACACACGAATTGCCTGGGATACAGAGCCTGGGGAGGGTTTAAATTAATTCCCTTGTTCATGGGGTTCTTTCTACCAAACGGCGGGTCATTCGGTAGTTTCCACACTAATTCATGGAAGTCTGGAGGTCTCAGCGGTGTTTGCCTAGTCGAGTGTCCGATTTTAGTTCCAGACACTCAACGGCAAAACACTGCTGTTTGGGAGTTTCAGATGGCCGCTGCCACGTGTTCGTTTCCCGAATGGCGGCCACCCAGAGGACAAAGAACACATTACATAGATTGCCAATTACCCATTTGCAACATTGTTGCAAACGGTAATTGGAGGCACACTTACTCCAGGGTGGTCTGGTTGTTCGGTAGTTTCACTCAATATAATGAATGGAGTGATTCTACCAAACAATCAGGGGAATGCTGCATACACATAACACCGTTTACCGAACACATAATATTAAAGACAGCCTGAATGCAACCTGCTACACAGTCTTAAAGGGCATTGTTCCTAACAGTCATAATATGTCCACGGATGGCCCTTAAAGGGCCAGTAGCAGCTATATAAAATACCACATGCCCAAATATTGCATTCAAAAGTACAAATTCACAAGGGGCCATAGTCAGCAGGTAGGAGGCGGGCAGCCAGGCCTCTCCAATGTCCAGTGGCGAGGCAGCTTTCGCCACAGAGCCTAATCATTAAAATACAGTTGGCGTAGGGGAAAGAAAATAATTGACAAAAAAAGTATTAGAGGGATTCTTTAAAGGAATACTCCAAGCGTAAGCACTAATCAGACACATTGGAAGCAGCTATGAACTGATATTAACTTTTTTGGGTCATTTCAGATCCTGATATGTTGGACAATTGCCACACATTAAAGGGAAACTATAGTGCTTTGTTTTCCTGGCACTATAGCTTCCCCGCCCCGTCCGTTAAAAATCCTTCTGTCAGTTACCTGAGTTTAGCTCCGAAGACCCTCTGTGTTCTGGATCCTGGCATCGGCGAGGGGACCTAATGCACATGCGCAGCAATGGCCGCTCTCGCATTAGTATTTCCCCCATAAGACGCATATATAATGCTTTCCTGTTGGTTTTACATTACGCTGGATGTCTTCATGCATAGTGTGAGGACGCCCAGCATCAGTTAGGTGACCAAACGTCTCTCTAGTCCCTCTCTGGTAGACAGCCTCTAGAAGTGGCGTTAATCCTCAAAGGGTTTCTTAAATACCTGCAATAATTACCTTTGCAGGGTCAATGGACCTGGGACAGTGCAACCAGACCACTTCAATGAGCTGAAGTGGTCTGGGTGCCTACAGTGTCCCTTGAAGCAGAATCATTACTGAACTTATCTATTAATGATTCTGTCTTTCACAAATCTTTTTTTTTTTTATATCTGGAGCCTGCAGTCATAGTGAGATTTTGTGATAGTATAGACTTATGCCATAGATACTTAGAATTTATTGTTCCTCTTATCTCTTACCATAAAGATTTCACACCTTCGTGTCTGGTAGACTCTCGTATAAGTTTTTACATTGATTATAAATATATAAATAGGACTTTATGCCACAATGCCAGGACAGTAAATGATTGCAAAGGAATTCTATTACTTACTAGTTATTTACTGTACTGTACGGGATGAGTGAGCTTTATAGTAACAATTGCAGCCAGTACAACTCCCATCACACTGAGTGATCATACAGAGTAATTTACTGGCCTATGCTTCTCAATGACTGTTGTACTGCTCATTGAGAAGCCTCTGTGCTGGAGCTGTAAGCATGTTCGATCACAGCTTCCCTATGCTTCTCAGTGACTGTAGTACTGCTTATTGAGAATCCTCTGTGCTGGAGCTGTAACATATTCAATCACGGCTACCCTATGCTTCTCAGTGACTGTGGTACTGCTAATTGAGAAGCCTCAGTGCTGGAGCTGTAAGCATGTTCGATCATGGCTTTCCTATGCTTCTCAGTGACTGTAGTACTGCTCATTGCGAAGCCTCTGTGCTGGAGCTGTAAGCATGTGCGATCACGGCTTCCCTATGCTTCTCAGTGACTGTGGTACCGCTCATTGAGAAGCCTCTGTGCTGGAGCTGTAAGCATGTTCGATCACGGCTACCCTATGCTTCTCAGTGACTGTAGTACTGCTAATTGAGAAGCCTCAGTGCTGGAGCTGTAAGCATGTTCGATCACGGCTTTCCTATGCTTCTATGCTTCTCAGTGACTGTGGTACCACTCATTGAGAAGCCTCTGTGCTGGAGCTGTAAGCATGTTCGATCACGGCTACCCTATGCTTCTCAGTGACTGTAGTACTGCTAATTGAGAAACCTCAGTGCTGGAGCTGTAAGCATGTTCGATCACGGCTTTCCTATGCTTCTCAGTGACTGTAGTACTGCTCATTGAGAATCCTCTGCTGGAGCTGTAAGCATGTTCAATCACGGCTACCCTATGCTTCTCAGTGGCTGTGGTACTGCTAATTGAGAAGCCTCTGTGCTGGAGCTGTAAGCATGTTCGATCACAGCTTTCCTATGCTTCTCAGTGACTGTGGTACCGCTCATTGAGAAGCCTCTGTGCTGGAGCTGTAAGCATGTTTGATCACAGCTTTCCTATGCTTCTCAGTGACTGTGGTACTGCTAACTGAGAAGCCTCTGTGCTGGAGCTGTAAGCATGTTCGATCACAGCTTCCCTATGCTTCTCAGTGACTGTGGTACCGCTCATTGAGAAGCCTCTGTGCTGGAGCTGTAAGCATGTTCGATCACGGCTTTCCTATGCTTCTCAGTGACTGTGGTACTGCTCATTGAGAAGGGGAGAAGGCAGCTGAAATGCTTTAAATGTCTGGAGTGTTCCTTTAATCTCATGAGAGCAGATATTAGCTTGTTAAAATGATCATATACTGTAAATTTATAATTCTTTGATATTGTCCTATTAGTATTACAAGGATTAAAAGTTTGGGGTTATGGTTTTGGTATAAGGGGTGTTTAGAATCTTTGGGTTAGGGTTCAATTGTGGTAAAATTTAGTATTGGGGTATATTTTGTATTCAGGAGTCAAAATAGCAACCATGCCCTTAACTTTAAGGAACACTACAGTCACCAGAACCATTAGCAGGTCTGTCCAACCCATGACCTGTGGGCCGCATGCAGCACCATTCCTGAAAAATTCATGTTCGGGATGTGCCCCCAATTCCTTTTTGGCAATCTTTGTTTTATTGAGGAAAGTTTACAAGGTTGACATTTTCACTCATGACGTTGTGATAAGACAAAAATCATATAACATGAACTAGTACAATCATACAACATTAACAGGCCTCTTTTACTTTGTTTTTCCCTGTGTGTGTGTGTCAGGTTGATATGTGTGTTGTGAGGTGTTTCTGTTGGTGGCATTTCGTAGTGGTACCTCGCAGGCGGATGGTGGTTTGGTCTGTGTGATAGTTCGGTCTAGTCTGTTGGTGTCCCAACCTGGAAATATGTTGCGCCCTTTGGTCGTGTGTGTGAATCGGGGGAGTAGACAGATAGGTAGGCTTTGTGACTGAGGGTGTCCCCTAACTTTGGGGGACTGCAGGGGGGGTGGGGGATTGAGGGGTCTACCCATCGGTCCGGGCTCTGTTGCCTCCACCATGTGTCGTGACTGTGAGGGTAAGCATGGCTACAGTGGGCTTGTGACGTGTAGAGGCATGAGTGATAAGATTCTCTTGACAGTTATAAGAGGGGACAAAAGCATAATGAACATTTTGCAGTATTGTGCTTGGTGGGTGGTTAAGTTGCGTTTGCTGCACCCGGAATTTCTTTCCCTCTTGGTGTGAAGAGTCTCGCTCGGCTCTGGCCCCCAGTTTGGGTGTCGGAGGAGGCGGTGGGTTCCTCTGAGCGTGGGCTTAGTCCCAAAGTTTGTAAGAACGCTGCCGCGTCTGTTATAGTGGTGAGTCTCAGCTCCCTGCCGTCGGTCGTTTTGGCTGTAAGTGCTCGCAGTAAGGTCCATCGGTACTCCACTCCGTGTTCTCGTAGCCTGCTCGTAACTGAGCCCAGAGACCTCCGCCAGTGCAATGTGTTCCTGGTGAGATCTTGAGAAAACGTCAATTTGGAATTTTCAAAGTCCAGAGGAGTTTTGCCCTTTACTGCTGCTAGGATGCGATTCCTGTCCACCACTGACTGGTAGCGTACAATTATGTCTCGGCTGGCATCGAATGTGACTTATTTATCCTATAACAACCTTCCAACTGAATTTTCTTGGCTTGCGAATGAAGTAAGAGTGAGTCCATAAGCCGTCTTCGATAGCCCAGCACCCCTCTGAGTTTAATGTTGGCACGTCGCTTGCGGTCCTCAGCTAAATCCACTCTCAGTGTCAGGTTGGTATGTGAATGCAGCAGGTTGTGCATCTGGTCTTTCACCTCTTGCACCTCTCACTTGAGGTCTTGGACCTCGGTTACCGTAGTCTGCGTGCGTGCACTAACCGCCTGCACCTCGGTGCGGTCTGCACCCAGGTCGGCCGCTGTCATTTGTCTAAGTTCCCTTAGGAGGTTGGCAATATCTTGCTTGGTGGCAGGGGTTTGTGGGTCATGGTCTCCCATTGCCTCTAGGGGTGTCATGGAGGGCGACATTGTGGGTGAGTCCCCAGGGGTGGTTGTAAATGCTTGGGAGTCTGATCTGTGCTCACCAGCGTCTGACCTGGCCGCCATCTAGGAGTTTGTCGGACGCTGCAGCATCTCCGCTATATCGTGGGATTCTTTGCTGGGGCCCGGGTGTGATTTCTGGGTTCTGCATCCCATATCTGTCGTGTGTTTTGGGAGATGGTGGGGTGGCCAGTCGGAGCAATATGTTTAAGCCAGCTCAGCCTCTAATCCCCTTGCAGCGGTCCGTGTGGCTGAGTAGCCCAAGTAGGCCCCAGATGTGCGTCTGGCTTTCTTACCCGTTTTCGGGTATGAAAAAAGCATGGGGCTGTTGCTCCCCCTCTTCGGAGTTGGTGGGGTGTCATGTGTGGGTCCGGTTGTCGTGGGGTACCCCAGATTTTTGTGGATTATCCGATTATTGCTCGGAGCCGGGGGAAAACGTGTGCGGTCGACTCCGGCGCTAAGATCCGCCCCCCAATTCCTTTTTGTTTTTACTATGTGATTATGTGTATATCTGTGATTATGTGTACGTCGGTGTGTGTCTGTGATTGTGTGTGTATAGATCTGTGATTATGTGTGTGTATATATCTGTGATTGTATATGTATGTGTATATCTGTGATTAATTATGCATGTATCTATATACATGTGTATGTGTTTTGTAGATTGCTCTCTAATTTGATATCCTTAACTATGGCAATCCCACACAAAGATTACAAATAAGGGAGTTATGTACTAAACTAGATTTGTTATATAAATTATTTATATCATATATTTTTTATTTGTTTTATTTGTATTTTTGCTGTGCATAATAATATATAACAAACAAGCCTGAGGTACCCCAACAGCAGTCATCAGGCATAATATCACATGTTATATTTGGGGTATTTGATAACACAAGCACAATTTTATATTTTATAAAGCAGGAGTTAAACAAACTAGGTGTCGTGCACCGTTATAACAGTGAGGGAAGCAAGTGCACTCATGGGACAACAAAGATTAAACGTATAGAATACAGTAAGTGCCGAGTGAACTGTTGCACATTTTTCATTGGTTGCAAGAGCTCACTGTTATGAACAATGACATAAATGCTATTCCAAAGATGAGCTGCGGGAGAATACTTTAAAAATAAATTAGTTGCATGCTCAATTATATACCACTGGTGGAGATGTAGGCTTCTCATTATGGCTTTGGGTGCTGTGGTATGGATACCCTCGTTCTAGAGGGGTTCGGGGGTGGCCTTATGAGAGACGTTACTTATGGGACAGTTACAGTTTTGTGGCATTGATATGGGAGAGTTGGTCTATAAGGATCCTGGGAATTTAGTGGGGTGACCAGGGTGACCCAAATGCTCCGTGACGTTTGGGGGCTTTGAGAGGGGACCTCAAGTAACCTCTTGTTGGTAGGGGCCAGACAGCTAGGGGAACTGGTTGGAAGTGACGAGTTTGATTTGTTCTCTCTGTCTATGGTCATCATTCTCTGATAGCCTGTGCGGGGGCCTCGTGGGCACGGGGTTAACCGTGAGACAGAGGGTAAGATAGCATTAGCAGAGAGAAAATAAATAAAGGTAATAGTAAAAATAGCGCCCAGACTGCTTAGGATGTCCATCCCTGGAGACCTGTAGTGGGAGTTCATGTAGTAACAGCCACGTAGGCGACCACTGGAGGCCTCTGGGGCATGAATGGGGCCATGTTCAATGGTTCTAAATTATGTGGTGTGGCTGCTGGTTTGTTTGTGGTGCTGGAGAGTGAGTCCTGTAAGAGACTCAAAGCCCCCATGATAGCCCCTCTTCAGATCATGGACCGGGTAAGAAGCTCCACCATGTGAGATCACCAGTGTGTGGGTCGTCCTTCACCTGTAGATGATGTTGTGTGCCCGGAGGAGCGATGTGAAGTGCTTCGGGGACTTTCGCCAAGCTAGGGTGCTCCCCGATAGGTCAGCAAAGAAGGTAAGTGGAGAGTTCTCGAAATTGTAGGGAGACTGCCCCTGAGGGCAGAGTGACCCCAAAGTGACCTCTGGTTAGGTTGTTGGGTAGAGTGGGACAAGTAGCTGGGCAGATTTGGTGACACAGCTGTTGCTGGGGACAAGAGCTGGCTGGTGATTGGTCGCTGGCCGAGAGCGAGCAAAGCGCAGGTAGCCAGGTAAGAATAAAAGGTGGCAGCACGAGCGCCATCCCTGTCAGCTGTTTGCAGGACAGGAGAGGCACGGACGGACCCCCCGCCCTCCCTCCCCTATTTGCCAACTTTCTTTATAATTAATGTTGTGGTGTTGGAAAGCTTGGGGAAAAGTCATCTTCAGGTTCAAGTTCTGAGGAAGGATATGTGTTAAATGGTTGAATATAAAAGGCGGTCAGGTTAGCTAAGACTGACTGACAATTAAGTGATGGTGAAAGTTAAAAGTTTTGCAAGTAAAGTGAAAACATTTATGTGAATATGTTACTGTTATCAAGTTATGGTGGTATGCCCCTTTTAAGCTTTAGATAAACACCTCAGCCTAGCCCATTGAAACATAAATAAACTGTGTCTGTGTTTATTGTGTTTTCTATGTTATTTATGCAAAATATTGCTGTATTCTGGGGAAATATGTGTAATCTGCTATTGATGAAGATAACAGCATTCTGGAGAACCAGTACAGTATTAAAAAATAAATTGTTCCATTTCAAGGCCAGCCGGCAATGTTCGAGGTAATGAAGTTAAAATTAGAAGCTTCAAGGTCTGGTTGCCTGGCGCTCACACAACTTGGTATAATATTTAACTTTCCCATATATTATCTGATGCAGATTCTACTTAACTGGCTCGCTGCTTAACACCTTCAACTGGATGCGCGCAGGATCCGTGTTAACATGTTTATTTGACATAAATTCTGAGATAACACATGGTACCTTGTCTGCTTTATAAAGTTTTTACTGGAAGCAGAAAGTTATATTTTAGCGGTAATTAAGCGTTCACTCTGTTAATGATTTAGCGAAAGTCTCTTGGTTTCTTATTCACTAAACTCTGAATCGAAGCAAATTGGCATCTGAGTGGCAACATTTTGCCAAAAATTGTGGATACATTCTCCAACTGAACTGTCTTCAAAACTTGGCTATTTTAACCTGAACTTTGGTTTGTGAATAAAAAGCAGATAGTCCCAGATATGGCTGTAATGCGGTCTGCCAACCCTTTACCTACTGCTGGGTAGCTATCTACTTTTTTTTAAAAACCTCAGTGACTTAACGTTTTCTTTTTGGGCTGTGCCCGGTATATTTAATCTAAAATACAGCATGGCTGCTTCTAATGGTGACAGCACATGTGCAATTCATTTCGTTCCGAATGCCAATTCGGACAAATTTTGAAAATTCTGACATCTGGATGCTTCCGAATGTCTGAAGTGCTGAATTGCCAAATTTCCGAAGTGCTGTATTTCGGAATGCCCAACCGAACCGAATTGCCGAAGTGCCAAACTGAACCAAATTGTCAAAGTGCCGAATTGCCGAAGTGTCGAAGCGCTTTGGATTTCTGAAAGTGGCAAAACAGTAGAGGGTTGGGGTTAGTGGTTGGGGTACAGGTAGGGTTAGGGTTAAGGGTTGGGGTAGGCTTTGGGGTTGGGGTAGGGTTAGTGGTTGGAATAGGGTTAGGTTTAGGGGTAGGGTTAGGGGTAGGGTTAAGGGTAGAGGTTGGGCTGACAGCAATGGCGATGGGATGCATTTCTAGAGAGCTCCTCATGTACCTCATGTTGCCTAATCCTAGGCAAAAAGCTCTCTTGAACCTTTACTCTGGGTCAAGCACCACCAGTCTAGATCCCCGAATCAACGGACTGGTCTGAGAGCATTCTCGCGGCCCCCAGAAGTTGTCCAAATGACATCCTCATCACGACTTGTGTAGCCTAGGCAGAGGCGGCCGATCTCCCAGCCTGGCACAGTCAAGATTCCGAAGCTGAGATGGTGCCCCGTTTCACACCCCCCCCCCCAGACCGGTGGGGGTGATCCTGGTCCATACACTGGAGGCTCCCAGGCTGTATCAGGGACATACAGCTGTGCCGCAGGCATCAACCACCCTATCTCACCAAAGATGGCGGGCTCCATGTGTGCCTTAGCACAAAGTCGAGAGATGACCCCTATTCTACAACGCCTGGATGCCTTGTTTCATGAGTTCTGGTTGAAAGTGACTTCCAAACAGACCGTACATACCCCACAAGCTGATCAGGTGCCTGTGAATCCACCCAGCAACATCCATCGCCGACCAGTGACACCCGCTGTTAGCAGAGGGCGCCAAAGGTGGAGGAGAAGGCGCGTAGACAAGCCCTGCAGACACGCAAGCCAACACTTAAGTGGAGCGTCCCTGGGATGCACGCAGCGATAACTCAGAGGGATGACTGGCGAAGGAAGACAGTCACTAGACCGCGAGCTGGCTTCTATGCAGCTGAATCAGAAGCCCAGCATGGAGTGAAATCATGTCCTACCCCAGTGGGATATAGATTGACCTGAGACCAAGATCCACCACCCCTCCCCCCCCAAACAAAATTATACGCTTGTGTATATATATATATATATATATATATATATATATATAAAGCTGGGTGAAGGGGTGACAGTGTGAAAAGGTAGAGGGGCTGTGAGAGGGTATGGGGCTGTGAGGTGGGTAGGTGGTCTGTAAGTGAGTATGGGGTCTGTAAGTGGGTAGGGGGGCTGTATGGTGGGTAGGAGGGCTGTGAGTGGGTAGGGGGACTGTGAGTGGGCAGGGGGATTGTAAGGTGGGTAGGGGTGCTGTGAGTAGGTAGGGGTTCTGTAAGGTGGGTATAGGGGCTGTAAGGTGGGTATGGGGGCTGTGAGTTGGTAGGGAGACTGTGAGTGGGTAGGGGCTCTCACTGACAAACAGACACACTGACAGACACATGATGTCACATTCCGGCTCCCGGCATCACTCTATAACGCGCGAGAAAGCTGAGCAGGGAGATCTCACAAATCAGCGCTCCCTCACCGCCCGTC